AGAGAAAGCTCAGGAAAAACTTGAATTATGGAGGTCTACATTAGAGTCTCAAGGCCTTCGTTTGAGATCATTTTATGCAACCATAGGAGTCGGCATGGCATGTAATTTTAGTAGTAGTAGCTCCTAGTAGTAGCTCCAGTGACAAAATTGTAACTATGGGTGATCAAATTATTAATAGGTGTGAATGCTTTAGATATCTCGCTTTAGATATCTCGTGAATGCTTTAGATATCTCGGTTTATTGTTCAAAGTGATGGTGATATAGATGGGGATGTTATTAGTAGAATTCAAGCTGGTTGGGGAGGAATGCTTCTTGCTTCTGGCCTATTGTGTGATAGAAAAATACCGCTTATACTGAAAGGAAAATTTTATAAGATGGTACTAAGAACTGCAATGTTTTATGGCGTTGAATGTTGACCTTTAAAAGAGAAGTAAAAGAGAAGCATAAAAAGCATAAAACTAAGTTAAGTGCTGCCGAGATGAGAATGATTAGGTGGATGAGTGGCTTTTCAATTAGAGACAAAATGCAAAATAAATATATCCGTGACAAGGTTGGTGTAGCTCTAGTGACGGACAAATTAGAGAGAGTCATGGTTTGGTCACATTAAACTTCGACCATCTGATGATTTGATTTGTAGAGTAGATGTTTTTAGATTCAAATTATGTTAAGAAAGGCAGAGGTAGACCTAGAAAGGCTTTGGTATATTGTATAAAAAATAATCTTAATTTATTGGATATAAATGAAAATATGACACTCAATAGGACGCGATGGAGAAAAAAGACTCGTGTAGCTGACTCCCACTTAGTGGGATAAAGGTTTATTTTTGTTGTTGTATCTTTTCTTGCACATTATTATTGAATAATCAACTAGTTTTATTCGTAAGAATTTTTTAATTCTCCAAACACATCTTTTGTAGTTTGTTAATAGTACTCATTATTCTATCAAACATATTAACTGCTTCATGGTTATCCCAATTCTTATGATTTTGAAGTTTACTCATAAAAATAAATTTATTTGTCTTTTAAGTATTCTCATCTAGTTCTATCATAATATTTCATTGTATCTTCATTTTTCAAACCTTATCTTAAATATCAAAACCAATAATTGATGTTTGGTACTTCAAATTTCACTTGAAATGATCTTATAATTCTTAGAATCTTAACGATCTAGTTTTCATATAAAAAAATCAATTTATATTTTATTAGATTTATTTTTATTAAGTAATAATATGCTCAAATATTTTCTTAAATTATGGATTAACAATAACAAAATCATAAGTTAAAACAGAATCTAATATGACTTTACATTCTTCATTAGTCACTTCAAAATCATAGACATCATGAATATTTCTAAAAACATCTACCATTCTACCAACATGTTCATTTAAATCTCTTCTAATAAAAATTTTCTTCAAGAGATATTCTTTATATTAATTCTTTTAAGTTGTTCGAAAATTTTCTTTTGAACATATATTCAAACCTACTTGATGAACATAAATACTTATAATATTAAAAATTTTAATATCAACAACAAATTTAATGAGCAATCAAAATTTTATATTAAACCAATATTAAGCACCGTAGAGCCAATAAAAATGATATTTAAGATGAAATAAGATAATGGAAATTAAGGCGTCAATCAAAGTTAAAAAATGGAAAAAAATTCTAAGCCAAATTCTAAGCCTTGTTGGATCAAGAGATAACCTCTTTTATAGTTTGCTAATTGCATTTGCATCACACATAAGTTATTAAACATCTAATAAGCAGAAAAGTAAAAGCTACGATATTATACGTTATTAAATCAAAAACTTCATTAAATGCCCCAGTTATTAATATTTATATACATAATTATCCATCTGGCCACTTATAATTGGTTTAATTTAAATTAAAAATAAAATCTCAGCACATTTAATGAAAAATTGTAGTGATTCGCTATAGGTGTATAGGAGTCTTGTTACTAGAACATGTGCCATAGAAACCAAGCTGAAAGTTTAAAAAGCAACAACTTTTCATGAAAGCGATTAGATATGCTCCACCAATTCAACAAACTTAATGAGTCGTATGAATTATGGGTGTAATTGTGAGATGGTAAAAATCACTTCTATTGAAACAACTCTATTAGAAGAGTTCTAGCTACAAGTTGGAAGTTAGAAAAATCCATAAAAAGTTGTAGCTTAATAAGCCTTTACATCCATAAAGTATGGAATCAACAATTTCAATTAGCTAATCTCACATTTTCTATTAATCTAATCAAATTAAAATAAAATAGGAAAACCTAGGAACCCAATCATTTAAACTAACTTAAATGAGAATCCACCCAAATCAGGAACCACGATTAAAGAGAACACATCCTCATAGGCCATAATTAAATCTAAAATTAGCTAATATTATACAATAAATAAAATTAATTTCAAATGATGACACTAATAAAATTTGCAATGATAAATTGTTTTCTTGCTGCTTTCGACAAATTTGGATTTGAGATTTTTGATAATGGTAGATTTCTTTTAGTTGAATTATTTCTTAGACAACCACGAAAAAGGAGAAATGATAATTTTGAAGTCTCAACAAAGAACCCTGGCCTTAGACTATATGATCAATTCCAATGTTTTTGTTATAGTCCCAAACTAAATTCTTTATTTGCGAAAGGAACTAAATTTGCTATAATAATAAAAATCTAACATGGGCCAATAAATATACCAATAGAATTCCCAATAGAGAAAAGTGTCAAAATAATTCTTTGATTTTTTATAGGTGTACAATTTAGTCTTAGTCTAAAAAGTGCCAATTCAGTCCCCTAGTCCTTTTAATATAGACTGAAATAATCTCCAAAGATAACTATTTCAGCCGAATCCAAAAGACATTAGATATGACTCCTAGCATAGTGAGCATGTATTGGGGTGGTTTTGAGTAGACACTGGATTTTTTTGAAGTGTGTTTCATATATCATGGATCACTGTTTTCAAGAAAAAAATTTCTAGAACGTCAAGAAAATTGAAAGTGAAAGATAAATGCAGTCTTTTTTTTTTTTTGCAAATTAATGTTAGAAAGTAGTACTCCTACCAAAAACCTATTTGTCGATTGCAAGAAAGAGATTTAGCAATATATATATATATATATACACACACACACACACACACATAAGATTGTGGAATTATGATAGGAGTAAATGTTGATAGACTACTTGCTTCAGCTGTCACTGAGTGGAAGTTGAAAATAGAAATTGAACTTATAAAATTTCTTAATACCTAGAAGAAGATTGTGGTGACATTCAGGTGGAGACCAAATTATAGTTAGGGAAAGGAAGTTGGGTTTTTTAATGGTAAAAGAAATTTATCTAAAATAAAAAAAGGAATCATCTCATCTATGAGAAGTAGATTAAAACTCAGAAGTTCGGTGAAATAGAAAAGTGTGAGGCATTTTTATGAAGAAAGCCAATCTTAAACTTTAAGGAAGAATAGAAAAAATGAAGTCAAGCTTCCTTGTAGCTTCAAGTAGCACTCCTGTAATAAGTTAAAAAATATAAACAATGACTATAAATTCTATACATACCAAATTCAATTAGCTTTTGCAATATTTCTTGCTCTTAAAACTTGCTTCAACCTTTTACTTGATAATTTTGATTCCTTGGATCTCACTAATGCCATATGCCAAGATTTCTCTTGAGGGTAGAAGATACGTTGAGCTTTGTCATTTTACTAGAAAATTGATATAATAGTTGTTTATAAAGATTGCAAGAAAAAAATTTATCGATATTTGTCCATTAATTCAATTATAAAAAGAATTTAGATTTGTGTTGGGAGTCAATGCTGGAAGAATGTTTCAAGCATGATTGAATGGAACATGCAAGCAAAATCACGCATTTAGGAAATTGCAATATTAAGATCAGTTTGGAAATCTTTCCTACATTAGTTCAGTTAAAAGAAACTGCATAATTGGGATAGGAGTAAATGCTAACAGTCTATATCACGTGTGATTGAATTGCAGATGGAACAAAAAATGATTTCAAAAACTAGTTCATATCTTATGTTTGGGAACAAATTTTAGTGACGAAACTGTCATAAAATATTAAAATTCAAGCCATTTAAATTTAAAGAATCACACTAGAATTTTACCCTTCTCTAATTATAGAAAGTAAATGGTAAAATAAAAAGAAAGGCAGTCCTCACTTTAGCTTTTTATATACACGAAAAAGTAACTGGAGTTACTTTCTATAATTAGATAAGGAACATTAAAAGAATAAAAATTATATGCATGTTAATTAAATTTGTCTCACAAGTTAATTAGCTTTTGCCACCTATCTTGCTCTCAATCAATTGGTTGGAACTCTGAACATAAAGGAATTCTAGGCAAATTTGTTTTGCCACATATCAATAAATATTGCCTCTTGGTAGTAAAGAAAAAGGTCTATGTTTAGCTGTCACGTGAAAAGTAATAATACTGTTGGATAAATTTTGTATAATAGGGACATTAAATGGTACTTTTGAAAGGCCAAATGCTCATCTCATGAAAATTCATTACACCGAAATTGGGGTATGTACAAGTTTTTTACTTTGTGCTGGGTTAGATTTTACTTTTTTTTATTTTTTGGAGTTTCCTTACAACATCATACATTTTGTTATTTGTTCGTATGGAAAACTGTTTGGTTTTATATTCTATATACTTACATAGGTATGTAAAGTAGATTTTCTCATTTGTGGGGGTATACCAGTTCAGGTGATAAGGCCTTGGAAGTTGTTGCTCTCATCTACATAAGAATATAAACTCCCACCTTGCGAACTTTCGGGTGGGGAAGAAAGTAATAGTATTAAAAAAATAAATCTGCTTATTTATTCACTCGATACATGTCAACCCTCAAAGATGAACAGTTGTAATCCTCTTCCCTTTTTCTTTTAATATTTCTTCAGTTCATTGTTTATTTTGTATTTTTGTGATTAGTTTCCTCTATAATTGCATAATGTACCAATCTCATCTTTCTTTTCTTATTTCGGTTTGTTCCAGCGGACCATGTGTGTCCTACATGCTTAGAAAACGGGCTCTTTATAATGATATGTCAAGGTAATTTATTTTCTTCTATTTGATTCGCATCAAGCACATTTTTTTTGCATTTTAGTTTGTATTCTTATAAGTTTTGTATACTGATTTTTTCCTTTTTAGATATGTCTGCTGCGCTGGTTATCTGCCATGTAGTGGCAAGTGTGGAGAGAGCAAATGCCCCGAGTTTTGTCTTTGCACTGAAGTAAAATATACCTTTTATTTTTATTTTTATTCAGATGTTGCTATTAATTTATTGTTAGGAATTTTTACAGTGGAAGCATAGACATTGATCTTAAAAATATGACTATTACTTTTGTTAGCGTATGCCATTTATTAGGGAAATAAATATGAAAATGATTTATATTGGAGAATGTGTGATTTTTGAAAATATATTACAACTGTTTTTGTAATTATTTTCTCTGTTATTTATTTTCTATTGCCTTCATCTTATACACTTATAAATAGGCATGCGTTTACTGAATAATATCAAGCTCTCTCGTAGCAATATATCCCCATCATACACATCCTCAACTAGAAATTGATAAGAAATGCATAATTGATCTCAATTTAGTAGTCTCTTGACTATACGAAATGGATCCAGATTTAGTGTCTCAGGCACCTGGATCAATTTTATATAATTGAGAGACTAAATTGGTGAAAGATGATATTATGGGACTATATTATCTTCGTACAAATAGTCAGAGGACTATTTTGATCTTTTAGCCTCTTTAAAACATAAAAAAAAAAAACAAGTTATGCAAAGAAATACCATGATAATTGTAATCCAAAAAAGTAAGATATTATCATATTCATCAACAGTGGGAAAAATTAAAGAAGAATTTAATCACCTTTATGGCAACAATATGAAACCATTCTCCTTCTATATGTGCTTGACCAAAATCTCTAATCAAGGAAGTTTGCATGTTTCAAACTCCCCTCTCTCCTCTCTTTTTCAAGGCACCAAATGCAAGGAGGGAAGTTCTTAATTCTTTATCTCAATCAAGGATCCAATTACAAGATTGTTTCCAAGCTATTTTTAGGGAGAATCATGCAATATAGGTAGAGCTTTGTGGCTCTGTTGCTTAAATTGATGAGTTTCTTTCCAAATATATTCTGTAGCTTTCATTATTATTCCTATGAAGAATACGAATACCATGCATACTCCTTTAGATCTTCATGTTCTCTCTTACAGTCTTAACTCATGGCTGACTCCATAATTCTATACTTAGCTACCGTTGTCTTATGTTCTTCACATCACAGAAGTCTTATATCCACAATATTTGACCCCTGATCATTCTGCCGTTGATGCTATTTTAGTGGTGATTAAGGGTAGTTCTGTGGTGGTTGAGGTTATAAAATTCTCTTTACCTCGCGCCTTTATTGCAGTTGTTCAAACTGGATAGCACCGGAAAATTAGTGTTCTCTCACGACCTGGAACATTATAATTGTTCTTCCTATTTTTATGTTTAATCCAAAAAAATTATTCTCAATTTTTATGTTATTTTATATTAAATTATATGAAAGTGAGACATTGAACTCTTTTTCAGTTTACTTATAATTTTTCTCGAGACAATGGAGGAGCATTCACTTCCATATCTAATATTATACAGGCATAAGGCTGGGAACATGCTACTTTAGGTGATCTCTTTTGCAAGTATGCACTTTCCTTAGGATTTGTTTGGGATCACTTTTGTTTTTTATTTTTTTTTCTTTTATTTTAAAAATATGGTTATTTAGTGTATCTTTTACATTTGTTTATTTATTTATTTTAAAACAAATTAGCTTGTTCTTAAAAATACTCAATACATCTAATTTTTTTTTTTTATATAAAAACAACAAAATATGTTATATCATATCAAACAAGTTTTGTTTAATCAAAATAAAAATGAAAAATAAAAATAAAAAATAAAAAAAAAATCAAAATTGATCCCAAAGAGTGCCTTAGGAATGGAGAGCGGTTTGTAAGTGGAGTGAATGGGTGGAGGTATACTCATCACTTATGCTTATCTGATGGAACAATTTTCGGAGATCATATTGCTGCAAGGGGTCCAAGCACTTCATTGAAAACTGAAACACTTCATAGAAAACTGATGGAGCATGTTTTTCTTATAGCATACATTTATTTTTTATCTTTCTATGTAGCATGCACTTTCCAATATATACAACAGATACTTTCATGCTGTTTATCATTCTCATATGTCTTGTCTCCAGATTGGCAAGTAAGTTGAGGCATACGAAGTTAACTTCTAGCCCCGCTTTATCAACCCTTATCAACCCCATGAATGATAATTTTTTTTTTTTTTTCACTTTTCACAATTCAGTTGTGCAGATTCTTATGGACTGCATATCTAAAAACTTGAAATTATATGGTTTTAATTTTTGTACCAATAGATTAGGCCAGGAGGATTATTTAGACATTCAGTTACTTGTTCTGTAGAATGAACGAATCCCCTATATTTTATTGGAAGAATGGAAAGACCTAAAATATTGATAAACTAAACGCCAATTGAAAGCTCTGTTTGCATTTCATCCTTTACGAAGTATTTGGTGACAATATGTTTTAAATGATCAATTATTACATATGAACCTTTTTTGATAGTACAAGGATTTGTGTAGTCCTGCTTAAAAGCTTGTCCAGTTTTCTGCATGTCTATCTCCAGTCATGCATATATTTGTGCATTTCAGATTTTATTTTTAAAAAGTATTTGATAAGTCTGATCTCATCATTAATACATCTATAAATTTTACCTTTTACTTGACCAACATTTTTTCTGGCAGGTGTTCTTATGCTTTGGCAACTCTGTTGCCTCTACCCGTTTCTTGCTTCAAGATGAATTTAATATACAGACTACGCAATGTGATAATTGCATCATTGTATGTTTTCTTACCGTACCCTTTCCCTGCCTTCCTTTCCATAGCTCCAAGCTCTCAAGGCAAAACATACTTTTTTAATCCTTTTTTAGTGATACTTTTTTTTGTGCTATTTAATGTGCAGGGGTTTATGTTCTGCCTTCAGCAAGTGGCTTGCATTTTTTCTCTCGTAGCAATGATTGTTGGAAGTGAAGAACTACAAGAAGCTTCTCAGATATTGAACTGTCTCTCTGACTTCGTTTACTGCACGTAAGACTACCCTGTTATTAGTTATTCAGTTATTCTTTATGAATGCCTCAACTTAATACTATTTCATTCCTTTTGCAGTGTTTGTGCTTGCATGCAGGTAATATAAACATTACTACGTTCAATTTTCTTCAGTCTTTTTATTTGGTCTCATTAAAATATGTTGATGTTTGGTTGCTGCAATGTGCAGACACAGCACAAGGTTGAAATGGATAAGAGAGATGGAAAGTTTGGACCACAACCAATGATGGTCATTCCCCCAGCTCAACAGATGTCTAGATTTGATCAACCTGTTCCACCTTCAGCTGGCTATCCACCCCCACCAGCTTATGGCTATCCCCCTCCACCTCAGGCTACTTATGCAGGCTACCCGCCAGCTGCTTATCCTCCACCTGGTTATTCTGGTTATCCAAAGTAAATAATGAGATTATCTGTTATACTTTTGTTCATGCCTTTGATGTCTGTTGAGTTTTATTTGCTATAAAGATGTGTTCTCCATTTACCCTTGATGGAATATGTTTCTTATTATATATGTTTTACCATAGCAGATAATCTATTTGATATTGCAACATCAAAGCTGTGCATAACATTTTGTGATTTTGGTTTTTAATACAATGGACAATGTTTATTTTGTATTTCTGATTGCTTCTGAAGATTTTATATAATCCTGTCTTACATGATTGAGAGGCAATGGCTTGAGAAAATGAGTCTGGATGTTTTTTTAATGGTTTAAATTAGAGCGCAGACCTTGAATTATGGTCATGGCGTTTAGTTCTTAGCATTATTTCGTAATTTGGGTGGGCAACTCTAAAATTTGCTGTTACAAGGCTTCTATGCGCAATTCCAACAAATTTGAACCTTTAGCGTTCTTATGAATGGTTCAACTATAATAATGCTGCATTTAATTTGATCTTCACATCAATCTAATGTCTTAGATTACAATCGACGAAGTGATTTTCAATTTGAAGATTATAGTAGCGGCAGATCAAAAAAATTAAGAGATTAGGCACACTTCTCTTTGGAGGAGAAAAATTCCTCCATCACTTTATATGATTTTCAAATTCAAAGTTACATTGCTGGTTATATTCTATAACATTAGATTTATATAGGGATTGAGCGTCATTAAATTTTTGCTATCATTAATTTCATGGAATAACTTGTACATTTGTTTGAGTATGTGAAAACTTCAAAGATGATTTGTTAGCTTAAAGTAAGTCTTTCTAAAAATTTAATTTTACCTAGTTATTTTACCAATCAAAATGTTTAGTAAAGTTCCAACCCATTGTAAAATTCTGACCAATGTTTTAAGACTCCATTTCAATCCAATCTTAAAAGTTTTGGTATAAAAAAATTTTTATTTTTGGATTAATTTTTTGTTGTTGCTTTAGTTTATGATATAAAAGATTATCAATGAGAATAGGAGTTTTGGCAAGCTTTGTTGGTAATCAATGGGGATGCCATTGAGCTTATTCCAATCCCAGTCTTCTAATTGAATTGGAGAAAGTATTCCAATTGTGAAAACCTTGCACTATCTGCTTAGAAAAGTGTGACACAGGGCAATATTGTTAATAAGCTTCATTAATGCCAAGTTTTCTTCCTGATAGGAGCAAATAAGAAGAAGGTGATCCAGATGAACAATTAGAAAATCATATGTTGGGCTTAAACTCTGAATCTCAATTAACAAGAACCGAAAAGTAATGTCATGCCCTATTTATTTGATTAGAAGGACTAATCAACAAGATGCCGTGCTTGTAACTCTCAAACTCGATTAGAGAAATTAATCAGAAAGATGGTGATTGAGTTTAAACTCACCTTGATTAGAAGAATTAATCACAAAAATGTGATGGGCTTAAATTTCAGACCTTGATTAGAAAAATCAATCGCAAAGGAGGATGATGAACTTAAAGTATTCAGAAAGGAGGGTGGTGTGCTTAAACTCCCAATCTCAATTAGATAAAACTAATAAAAAAAGGTGATGTGCTTGAACATCAAATCTTGATTAGAGAAACCAATCGAAAAGATGTGCTTAATGTCACGAACAAAAAGTTTCACATTGGCTAGGTGTAGAGCCGAAGAGCAGTATTTAAGTCCTGGGCTACCCACCTCTCTTAAGAGCTCTTTTAGGAGGTGACAAGTTGTATCAGAGCAGATTACTGGCTGTCAGGTGTGTGGACTTTTCATGGTCCAGTGGGACCCTTGGAGGAACTGATCTGTGACAAGGGTGTCACGTGATTGGGTGGAGGAGAATGTCACGGACAAAAATTCTCACATCGGCTAGGTGTAGAGCCGAAAGTAGTATTTAAGTCCCGAGCTGTCCACCACCCCGAAGAGCTGTTTTGCGAGGTGACATTAAGCTCTCAATCTTGATTGATACTAATTAGAAATGAGGTTGATGAGCTTAAACTCTTGATCTCGACTAGAGAAAACTAACTAGAATAGAATATGATGTGCTTAAACTCAAGATCTCAATTAGAGAAACTAATCAGAAAAAGGGGACGGGGTTAAACTGTCAGTCTCGATTAGAGAAACTAAACATAATTGAAGGTGATGAGCTTAAACTCCCGATTTCGATTAGAGGTACCAATCATAAAAGAAGGTGATGGGTTTAAACTCTTGATCTCGGTTAGAGAAACAAATTAACAAAGAATGTGATTGGCTTAAATTTCTGATCTCGATTAGAGCAACTAACCAGAAAAGAAACTGATTAGCTTAAACTCCCGATCTATATTAGATCAACTAATTGGGAAAAAGTGATGTACCAAAGCACGACATGCCTCTTGCTCATGTCGATCAATCAATGGATGTGATGTCTTTAGAAGAAGACAGGTCACATCATAACTATGCGAGTACTGAAACAAAACACATACATGAAGGTGGTAGCATCCTCAAAAGAGAAATGTTGCCAAGCTAATGAATGGGTGATAAACCAAATATTAGTTGGCATGATAAACTCAAAAACAAAACCTACTGTTGAAGCGATTGAAATCTGATGGGCATGTAGCTCAAGTCTTTTGATCAATTTAAAGTCCTTAGAAAATACACATTATGGCATAGATTGGTGGGCATCAAGGGCCAACACTTGCTACGCCAGAAGGTCGAATCCCTAGAAAAAAATGCTACTAAGAGAATATATGAGTATTTAAACCAAACAACAGTTAAAATGAGAGATTTAAAGATAAGTCATTTTGCCTAACAACGATCAAAACTTGATGGGCATCTAGCTCATGTCTATCAATCAATATAACATCTTTAAAAAAGGCATGTTGTGACGTAACTAGGCAAGCATCAAGGACCCTCACTCGCTATTTAAGAAGTTAACATCCATAAAAAATTAAAATTCTACTAAAACCGGATGGGTACTTAAACAAAACATTGGTTAGAATGATAGACTTGACTACAAGTCCTATTGTCAAAAGTGGGAGCAATTTTATGGGTTCCAATTCTCGAAACTCAATGAGAAATGATATTAGGATTTTTTAATTTGGACCCGTCCCAAACAGAGCAAATCACGGAAGAAAATGAGTTGATGATCTTCTCCTTACATTCCCAAATACGGAGATACCAGTCATGCTCAGAAGGATAATTTTGCAGTTTTGGTAACTCAAATCTAACCGATATTATTTAAACCAAGGAAGGATGAAACAGACTTCCAACCCATACCTATAGAAAAATGTAAGTGCATAACTTTCTGGGGGATATAACTTACATTAGGGCGAAAGAAGAATGCAAATATTTCACTGTCAAAGGCTCACGTACCAGTAGGATTCACGTTCGCCACCATGAGCAATCAACTGGGGGTAAATTTGATTTATGGTGATCCAGGCCTAACCAAGTAGCTAAAATGGAGGAAAGGAAGTTTTGAGCACTTCCCCCCTTAGTGCATCCACACCCTGGAAAAATTAAAGTTAGGTTTTGGTAACTTAATCCTGACTCAACTGGCTCAACCGAGGATGCTGGTAACTTTTTTTGAGTAGTTTCATTGTCAAACACCCTTTTACAAGGAAACTTATGATTATAAAAATTACAAGTCCTGGTTGTTCGACATTAATTAATGGCTAAGATAACTCATAGTTAGGAGTATAAGTCTTCCTCCAAAAAGATTTGAAAGAACATATCTGTGCAATAGAGGGAATGTTTGCCATAACGTAAGATCATCTTATTTCCTCTTGCATCCCCTAAACTAAGGCACGACTTGTGCTGAGGAATGATGTAATTCTTTTTTCTCTTAAAAGAGAAAAGAACCTTTGAGTTTTGGTTGTCCGAACCCAACTGAATAGGCTTAACTAGGAATGTTGATAATTTGTATGAATCTTCCTCATATCTCAACAAACATTCACCTTAATGATGTCACATTCATGAAGATGGACAAACTGTTAAGAAGATAATGATTACACTTTACATGAAATATATATGCATAAAAAAGAAAAACACAAAATAACTTTAGAAATACTCTTCCTTTTTATTTTATGAAATCAATATACAAGTACATAGGATGGCACCATGACCCTATAAAATCCAAATAAATAAAAGATAATGCACATGCATGAAATTCATCAATGATACTTCAAATACCTACCATTGATCGAGGGGTAATGGATGGCTATCATTTGCATTGGCCAACATGTAGGCTCCTCCTTCATAGTCTTTCCTAATCACTTTCCTTCTCATTTCAGTTTAAACTTTTAATGTCTACGTCAGTTAGATATGATGGGAGCCACATGAATAGTAAAATCTCTTTAAAAATAAAATCCATAGGTCTCTCCAGATTATCATGCACTTTAATCGTTTGAGCTCAGTATAACTCCATGATCTATTGGGCTCATAACCTAAGCTCATCCAAACCATCAAGCTCCTCGAGACTAAGGCTAGCATTCACCCACATAGAGCTTGTGTTGTATAGCCACACATAATGAAGGTAGTTCAACTTTTAAAGGGAGGATTACTTTATACCCCAAGGTTAATGCATAGAGTGTGACACTTATGGGGTACAATAATTCATACGATATGCCCATGCCCATAATGCCTCTGGGAGTTGATCCAGCTACTCCTTATTAGAACGTAGAAGCTTCTTGATCAAGTTTAGGCTTTGACTAGACCATTTGACTTTAGATAATATAAGCAGAGAATCACCTATCGACAATGCAGTGATGGGAACAATGATTTATCTGGGTGTTTTTAAACACCAAGCCATTTTCCAAAGTAACCTTATGGAGTACCTTGAAGCGGTATTGCTTATGGAAGCAAAGGACATCCTCAATTTTCATCTCTCTTAAGGCATAGCTTCTACCCACTTAGAAAAATAGTTAGTAGCTGTTAGGATAAAGTTGTGTCCATTTAGAGGAAGGAGGATATATAGATTTATGATATCAATACCCCATGTCGCAAAAGGCGAAGATGCACTATCAATGTAGCGAATTTGGGAGCTGGTGCAACATTGCTCTATTAATCTGGAACTAGTGGCACTTTCTAGAGTACTCGAGACAATCTTGACTCATAGAAAGCTAATAATACCCAATCCTCTTAATCTTTAACCTCATTTTTGTGTCAAACTTATGTGATCTCTAAATGCCCTCATGCACCTCATTCACGATCTTATGGGCCTCTGCATTGTCAAGACAACGAAGCCACATTTGATCAAATGAACACTAATATAATGTGTCATTCATGACAGTGAATGACAAGTCTCTCCTTTGGAGTTGTGCCGCTAGTGAGCTATCGTCCAAGAATCTACCCTTGATTAAGTAGTCAATAAAAGCTTGCCACCAATCATAAATTTGGTTTGGAGAGGTGATAAAAACCATGTCATGTGTGCCCAAAGGCAACAACCAGTTCATGTGTGCCCAAAGGAAACAACATGGGAATGTCTATGAGCGTCGGTGACAGGACCCTTTGGTTTTTTATCAACACAGTTACATGATCTCCATTGGTGCTAAAACATTCTCTTGGCTAAATGAGCCAATACGACTGCCTTCCCATTCATTGATCATAGAATCCTTATAAGGGTTAGATAAAAAATATGGGCCAGTAAAGATATGATCCCATTTTGATAAATCAAAAGATTGAATTTTTACACTTTATAGGGACCTGTTAGATGGCTTATCACGAGCTGAGAATCATTATATATTTTGATTTTTTTCACATTCATTTGAACAAAAAAATCTCCAATCCTATGTTTAACACTTCATACTCCACCTCAGTATTAATTTGAGGCTCCATCAAGCTATATGAATAGCAAAGGATGCCTCACATAGAAGATAGAAATGAAACACTAAGGCCTCCTTTGGCATGAGTGATTGTCCCCAATGGGTCCTCCTTCAAGGAGGATGCACCATCAAAATATAATTCCCACTCCAAGAGTCTAGGTCTACTATATGCTCATCGTAAAAAATGTCATCAAGATGTGAATCAGGCGGCATAAGATGAGCAGCTAGAAAATTTGCTAAAGCTTGGCCCTTGATGGCTAATTGTGGCATATATTTGATATTGAATTGCAGGAGTATCATTGCTCATTTGACCGATCATCTTGCCAGTGTGGGACAAGTCATCAAGTATTGCAAGTGTTTACTCTTGAGATTAGAATAATATGATGAGACAACATAATTGCTTAATCTTCTAAACTTTGAATATGAATATCAAGCAATACTTTTCAATCGATGGATATCTCAATTGATCGAGGATAGTACGCTGAGTAAGATAGTAAAAGACATTATATTTTCCCTCATTATTGGCTTGGGTTAGTAGTACTCCTCCCTTATTACCAAGGAAGCATCTTATGGGCAGCTAAACTTAGACAGTAACAATCAGAAGATAAATATCACACATGTAAATTACAAGAAATACTCTAATAACAACCCTTTCCATACGGGAGTAAAAAAGTAATTTCATCATTGTACCCTCTCCTCTATAAATAGGAGAATCATTTTATGAATTAGGCATGACTGATTATTATTCATTCCTCCCTCCCTCCCCTCCCTCGCATTATTTACATTCTATTCCGTGGGTGTAATTTACGGACAATCAGAATTCATAACTTTTCGACCCATCACACACCACTACCAATGCTACCCACTGCTGGTATTGCTACACATTAGTGCTGACGTTGCACACTGTAATTATGCTATATATTGTCATTATGGCTGCCCACACATATTCAATCACCGGCCGATACAAGTTGCGACCACTCTTGATTACCATCCATCACCCTTTATTATGTTTCAATTAGTTTGAAATATATCATAAAAATAAAAATAAAAACATAGTTTAATGCACTTTATTTGCATTCAATCAAACAATTCAAGTATTTCTAAATGCAAGCGTTCAAGTTATATATTTAAAATACATATATGTTAAACCATCTAACTAAATAGACCCAAAGTAAAAACAAAAAAAATACTCGTTCGAAATAGTAGCAGCTAAATTTTTTCAAAAGGCAATCTATCTATTGTTTGTATGATATGAAAAAATGATTTGTGGCCATTTTTTTTTTTTGCCCCAAATCATTTCTTCATAAAATTATCATTCTTTCTAGCTCAAAATGACCATTCCTTCTTCCGAATAACCCTTAAATTAAAATAGATGATCATACTTCTTATTTTAATTAATCATAATGGATAATTAGTTCCCTTAAAACTAAAAATATCTTAATACGAATTTATTAGAGGAAATGCATTACTTGCCATAATGCCAAATAATCAAGCTCTTACTGAATTAACTGAACACCAAATTGATTTGATCTCTTGGCTTGTCAAATTTTTAGTTGATCAACTTACACAGGCATGCCTTTGAACACAGCTAGGCTCTTATACTAACAGCTGTTAAAAATTTGAAACATTTAATCTTGTTCATACAAAACTCAACATTTGATTAACCTTATCCTAATCAAAATTAAACTCAAAACATATCCACATATCTTTCAGCTCCCTAACAAAACTATCCTAAATTATTTTGGATTGAAAATAAAATTTGAATCAAATTAATTATATATAAGATGGACTTTGAGGTCCTGGAAGATAAAAAATCATTTGATCAAATTTATTCTTAAAAGATGAACACAATCAGACAAATTAAAGAAATCAATCATTAGACATATCCACAACATTACATCTACTTTAACTGAATTACCAAGAACTAACTGTATTCACTATAGCATTTAATACAACACTATGGTAAAAAATTCATGGTTAGAAAAGCAAAAAAAAAAAAGTGTTTGTGTGTGTGTGTATGTATATGTGGGGGTGGCAATGAGCGCTTATACTACATATCCAGCAATGTTAGTTTCCAATCATCATCTATTTAATTCTATTTCTCTATCATGTTTGAAGCACATCCACAACTACGGTGTTGATAACAAGATAAGTTGATTATTTTCATGGCTTGCTTCTCGGTTACCTACAAGAAAAACAACTCCTCAACTATTTGACATTCACATGAACTAAATTCGAATAACCGAGGAGTTATGGTTTGATATATAGAGTGCATCTCGAGAAATACCTTTTGCGTTTAGACTTTGAGCAGCTTGTTGCGGATTGGGAGTTATTGTGCCAATTTCGCTTTCTTTGATTGATGAACCAATTATTGATCTGTTTCAGTTGAAGACCAGTCTCCTCCACTAATTTTGCTTTGTCATCTTCCTGCATGTCAAATCATCTTTGTTAACAGCAGATAAGTTTTGGCATCAATCTTATAAAAATAATAATGCTAAAAATAATGGTGATGTCGATGAAAAATCATGATTTCACTGAAGGTCTACATTTAAATCGATTTTATAGAGGCTAATTATTTAGAATTAGCATTTATTTCAGATTATTTATAAATTCTTCTTTTTCATATCTTACTCCTCTTCCTTATATTAATAAATAAGTAACTCTAAGCCTTTGATATAAGTTTTTTCTACAAAATAAATAAATAAATAAATAAAAACAAATAAAAAATTACATATTAGTAAGTTATTTGAACATAGTATTTCACTTGTGTATTTTACTCGAGGGAAATTGTTATAAAATCAAAGTGATGGGCAACAAAAGAAATAACATAGATTTTACATGGAAAACTCAAAATAAAAAAAATCATAGACAGAAGAAAGATTCACAATACCAAAAAAAAATTGATACAGATGGAGAGTGTTGGGTCACATAAGATTAAACTAAAGAAAAAGAGTTATTACTCATACAAAGAAAATAGGATTTTAGACTTTTACAAGATCTCTTATGATGAAAATGCTTAAGAGGAGGCCAAAATAAATAAGCACAATGATTGTTATCCAAAGGCTATAATACGAGACCCAACGGTAGAGGCCTTCAATCTGTATGGTCATAATTTTTCACAAAGGCAAGTGGGACCCATAGAACTTGGGTTATAATTTAATAATCTTTACCTTGACACAAATACTTAAAAAAATGTATAATAAATCTTTAATGTGACAGAAGACAATCCACCTATTTTATAAGAAACTTTAGGGATTGCCAATAAATATCAACCAAGTCTAAGAATGCCAAACTTGACAATTAGAAGTGTTTGTCATTATATTAGTAGGATTATCATGGTTACTATTCTTGCTTACAACAATATTATAATGAGCAATAACTTCATGAATGAAATGGAAACAAACATCAATGTGCATAGTTCTCTTATGAAACATCTAATTTTTAGTGGGCTAATAGACAATCTGACTATCATTCATCACTGTGATAATTTCAAGTTAACAATAAGCTATCCAAGTAAATATTTTAACCAGAGAGCTTCTTTAAAAGATTCAATAATTGTCATATACTAAACTTCAGGTGTAGACAATGCTATTATAGACTATAATATAACCTTCCAACTAATCACACAACCTCCAATGATAAACAAATCTTTTAAGTGATCTTTTTCTATCAATATCTTCAACAAAATCTGAATTAAAATGGTTGATGACTCAATCTGTTATCCCTTCAAATTGTAAGAAAAAAATATATTTCTTTTTCTTTTAAGAACTTGAGGATCTACTAAAGTAACTTTCCAATCCTACTTACTTAATTTAGTTGCTAACTATATTATTGCATATGAAAAGTTTATAAGAGAATATAGTTTAGCATACATGAGAGATTTTTCTGCACTGGACTGTAAAACTCAAGACATATACTTAATCTCATCAACTAATTATGAACACAAAGCTGATACAAGTCAGATATGTCTAGCTCATGGAGTAGTAATTGGCTTGGCATTCTACATATTGAACATATCAATTATCTCAATTTATCTTTTTCTACTTCTAAATAATTGACCTACATATCTATCTCTACAAATCTTTATGTTGAGCATGTTTTTATAGTTTTCAAATCTTTCATCTTAAATTCACTACTTATTTGAGCCTTCAACTTATTTTTTTCTTCCTTAATCATAGTAATCAATATCTCTTCAACATATAAGAGTAAGTAGACAAAGAACCTATCGCCAATCCTCCTGTAGTAGAAATAATTATTGTAACTTCTTTTAAACTCATTAGTGATGATAAATAAATCAAATTTCTTACCACTGGTGATAAGATTATATCAAACTATAAAAGGACTTCTTTAACAAACATATAGTCTTCTTTTCTGTAACTATGAAGCTTATGGGTAGCTCCATGTAAATAATCTCTTCAAGCTCTCCATGTAAAATTTCAGTTTTTACATTTAATTGATCAAACTTAAGGTTATGATTATCCACAATATCGAGTAAAGATTGCATTGAGTTATGTTTAACCACTGGAGAGAAAACATCCATAAAGTCTGCACTTTTAATTTGGTTGAACCTTTTCACAACTAGCCAAGCATTATATCTAGCATCCTCAACTTGATGTATGCCTTCTTTCTTCTTAAAGAACAAATTGCATCAGACAACTTCACTAATTCCCAAATACTTATTAATGTAAGGATTCCATCTACTCATGCATTGCAATCATCCTTGTCTAGATTAGTTGCATTAATGGCCTCGATATGGCTACATGAATCTTTTTCACATTTGATACCTTAGGCCATATTTACGCTATAAGCAACCAATTAGTCTCACCATACCCTCGTGGCTAACTTAATGTCTCCTTTTTATATTTTAGCAATAAAGAATTAACTTAGTTATTATTATGATGATGCTAAAGTAGCATCAGTACAACTATTCGAATTTAACTGAGAAGTCGTGTCAGGAGTTGTATCTATCTCAATATCAAGCTTTGCATATCTACTAGACCTCTCCTTTTGATCAACATCACTAAATTTTATAGTGGTTTTACAAGTAAGATTATAGACTCACCAAACACAATATATCTATCAACGATCACATTTTTTAGAATTATAACTTGTAGCCCTTAACTCTAATTTTAAACAAAGAAGTACACGCTTTATAGATCTAAATTCTAATTTACTACTATCAACATGAGCATCCGCAAAGTAGCCAATAATTCATAAATTAGAAAAATACTAAGTTTACTAATCAAATCACTTATGAAGTTTTCTTGCCGATAACAATTGAAAGAGAACCAATTCACAAGTAACAAGCCATGGAAGCAATTTCAGCATAAAATGATTTAGGTAGCCCAACATTGGAAAGTATGCAATGCATTTCCTCCATAATAATCCTATTATACACAACCACACAGTTCTACTGTGGATTATTTTAGAATGTAAAGTCCATCAAAATTTCTTCAAATTTATAAAAGACAAATTTTCCTGAATAAAACTCTAAGTCATTATCTAAGAGAAAAACTTTAATCTACTTCATAGTCTAGTTCTCAGTTATAATTTTCCAGCCTTTAAATGTAATAAATACTACCACATTTTTTTTCAAAAAGAAAACCAATTTTTTTCTCAACAAAATCATCAATTAATGATAATATTTATCTAGTATCTCTCTCAAACAATACTATGGATAATTTATATGTAGCCCAACATCCCATTTGTATTATAAATTCTCTTGTGCTAAACTTAACTCTCTCATGCTTTTCAAATATATAGTGCCTACAAAACTTCGTTAATGTTTTTGAACATCAAGGATTCCTCTTCTACTCAATTCTGTCATCCTATTTTTATTTTTTTGCCCAAGGCACATCTGCTAAAGTCTAGTTATTTCATCATCTAGTATGAAAAAAATGATACCTATTATATGACGAACCTTGCAAGGCATATAGTCTAAAAGCCTCTTCTATCGATTCATCATAACAAAAGAACTTTTGTTGACTCAGAAAAATCAACCTTTATCATAGTACTAGTACAATTTAGCATCTAGAGTACTAATAAAAATTAAATTCACTTTTAGATCAGAGACAACTTACATCTCCATATGTGTTGATAAATCCATCAAATATCATAATTTTGATAGTTTCAGTACCATCTTACAACGAGTAGCATTATTCCTCCTTAATTATATAAATTTAGATATTGTCTTATAAGTTATAAATGAATTCCTTTTGGTAAACATGTGAAACATGGAAGATGAATCAAGAACTCAATCATCACATAGTTTACTATCAGGGAGAACTATGAGTTCGCCACCACTAACAACTACAAAATATTGGCTTCACCAGAATGATTAATTTATTTCCACTTCTAATTAATAGTCAGTTTCTTATTTTTATTTTATAGTTTATAACATTTAAATTTGATGTGTCATTTTTTTTAATAATAATTGAATATCTTATTTTTATTCTTAAATTTTGATATGCTCTTTATATCAACATTTAGACTACAACTTAAGCCCCCCCTCAAATAATTTGTTCTCCCTGAGCAATAGGTTAATCCACATGTTGGTTTATATTCTCTTTAAAAAAGAGAGCAATAAAAATTTTATCCAGAGTAAGTATCTCTTGACCATAAAAATAATCTCTCTAAATATTGCATATGATAAAGACAATCAATATAACAAAGTTAATGTTAAGTCTTCTTCACCATATTTAAACTTGATGACCTCTAATCATAGTCAAGTGATCTACAAGAGGCGTGTCTTCAACAATCTCGTAGGAGTGCAAACACCGCTTCAAATTTAAATTACTAATAAGACTTTTATGGATAATTATTCTCATTTTAGCCATAACGTATTTGATGTCTAAAGATACGTCTAAAGCATTTTGATCCTTATATTGCATCTCCAACATAATTTCTTGTCAAATCATAGTAGCACATCATTTAAATCCAACTATGCCAAAATAACTTACATCTTAACCTATAAAAGAGAAAATCGCATGCTATGATCCAAGAGTAGAATATCATACATCATTGTGGCAATCATGGAAATCAATAAATATCTCTCCAATACCAATTATTGTAGAATCAAAGATAAGAGAGGAAAAAGATGAAATCACACACATTTTACGCGACAAAACAAAAATGGGAAAACTAGTAAGCAAAATAAGATAATTTAGATCCAAAGAAAAAGAAATAAGTGGAGAGTGCTGATACGCATAAGACCAAAGCAGAATAGCGAGTTACTGAGTTGTTACTTATACAAAGAAAAGTGATATTTGCAAACTTTTATGAGATTGCTTGCAAAAAAATATTCAAAAGTGAGCCAATAAAATAATAGCACATGAATTGAAACCTACGAGCTTTAATAAGATTATCATTATAAGATTAATCTAACGATTGATGCATTCAATTCACATGCTCATAACTTCTTATTAAGTCGAGCGGGATCCACATATTTTGGGTCACAAAATTAACAAAAAGTATTATTTTTATTATGCTGAAGAGGAAGTCTTAAGAGAGTTGAACTTTTGTATTCCAATCTAAAATGATTTCATATTGATTTTCAAATAAACAATTGGTATGCTACTAATGTCAATGTAAATGTACCAAGGGATTGTAGCATTACTCTTTAAAAATGTTACTTCTTCATAGCTTATGTTTGAGTAAATATTAAGTATTCATTAACATATAGATCTATCAAAAAAGCTCGTTGTTCAAAAACAGCTCATGTTCGGCTTGTTAAATAGCTCGTACTCGGCTCGTTCGTTAAGTAAACGTGTCGAACACAAACAAATTTTTAGGCTTGAATTATTAACGAGCCAAACAGAAACAACCCTTTATTTTCTAGTGTTCAACTCATTTTAGCTTAAATTAAATAAATTATATATTTTATTCATATCATAATATATTATATATATTTATATCTAATTTTAAATCATAACAACTCGTATGGTTATTTGGTTCTGCACCTATTGCGTAAATTTGGTGCAGATTTGAATCCAACACCCTAAATCTATTTTTTCAATTAATTTTAACGAGCCAATTTTGAGCCGAACAAGAGCCGAACACAAACAAGAATATTTAAATTGAGTTGAACACGAACACATTGTTCACGAGCCCATTTCAAATACGAGCCGATTTTAAACACGAGCAATTTCGAACGAGCCAAACACGAGCAAAGCCTGAGCTCACTCAAGCTTGACTCGCTTACAACCCTATTAACATGTTGATCCACTGCTTTCAAAGAAAATGACTAAGCATCTATTCCTTCTTCCCCCTTTTTATATTCTTTTACTAACAAACTTCAATCTTATCCCTTCTCATAATTGATTCAAAATCATTCAATTTGATCTCAAACTCATACTATCCAAGTTAAAATCCTAATTTCATAAAAACATGGACCCATACTTATAGATGCCTGCGTATAAATGCATAAAATTAGTTATAATATAAATACATACATAATTGTGTGGACACATTCACATACATATTTTGATTCAAACTCAAGCTATTTTGATTCAATAGAAGCTCAATTGGGCTCAATTAAAGTAAGATCTTACACATTTTTCAGCTTACTGATGTTCATTAAAGATAAAAGTTGAATCCCATTTTCAATGAATTTTCAAGATTTAATTACAGTTACAATTCCTTTTGGTTTGCATTTTTTATTTCTTCAGCGCTGTTAGTTTTTTCTCCAAGCAACCCTCAATTTTGAAGTGAAAAGTTTATACATATCACACAATTCTTATGTATTTACATATCTAATATCTAAAATTTAATATTTATATTTATGACATTTTGGTGCCATAAACATATGCAAGAAAATGTGTATTTCACTCTTGAAATGTTAACAATAATGCCATTAATGTGATATTAAAGATTTCAGTTTTGTATATGTATTAATATGAAAGTTTAAGTGATAGATATGAAAATATATGAAATTTTATACGGTATATTCTAAATGAAAAGCCAAACTAAATTCTTCGTTACACTTTACACCCAAAATTTACTACTTTTTAATAGAAATTTACTCTATGATCAGGACTGCAAAAAAAGACTAATCTTACTGTAGGGTACGGCCATTTAGAATGCTGCTGCCACCATTGCTTAAGCACAGAAGTGGTGTCGCCTGGAAGTTTTCCTGCTCTTCTCTTCCTCATAATCTCCTCTCTTACATCTTCGATTTTCGACCTAAACCCCTGAAAGCGAACATATAAAAAACAGAAGAGAGCCTGTCATTTCATAAAATTAGACATCACACCCATTAAAGTAAATTGTAATGTAGTTGCGAACGAGTGGCAAAACCTGTTTCAACTCAAGCTTGAGCTCTTACTCTTTCCATTAACGATCGCTCGGATTCGCTTGGTAGAAGCGGGCCGAAACCCATCAGATCATGTCCGTCCATTAAAGGATCAAGAGAGCAATCAAGTTGGAGATCGTCTTCATCATCTGACATGGTTGCTCCGGTTCCTTCATCAAGGGTTACGCCTGCAAATTTTTTGTTACTTGAAGAAATGCCCGAACAAAATTATAAAACTCGCGCTTTGCAAAGTTCTATTTTTTTCTCATGATAATTTAAATACCAAGTTCAGGGACGATTGCAAGTTTCAAAAGTAATCTAATGTAGTCCTAAATAGTAAGAGCCTCTCTGGGTCTGTTTCAAGAAATAGCTTTCAAACTTATGAAGCAAAAAAACTAATTCTTTAAAAAATTATAGTGGCTATTATAATTATTTTAAGTTAAAACGTAGCTTTTTTTAGCAGTCACCACATTTAGCCAGATCTGATTTAAAGTTTTTAGGATAATAAGCTTATTGAGAGGTTAGGATAGAAGAATTAGAGAAAAAAATTCTATTAATAAGGTTGTGGAAAGATTACCGCTATGTTTTTCCTAAAGACTTCAAAAATAAATGCTGGACCAACATTTTTATAGATTCCTATAGGTGTTCGAAAAATTGACTATAAATATTCTAATTGTTTAAGCTCTTGAATGGATGTGTTATGTTAAACTTATAAAATACAACTTAAATAAAATATGTAAATATGGTGAATTTGAAATAAATACTTTAATTAAAGAATACAGTGAAATCATTCAAAAAAAAAAAAACTCTTAAAAAACAAAGATTAGGATAATTTCACTATTCCAGGTACTAGAAGGGGTTTTTTTTTTTTGGAAAAATATTATGCAGTCTGCATGCCATCATATGTCTGATTTAAGTATCTATCCTTGGAAGGTTATGGATAAAAAATCTATTCTTACTACTATAATCCTTAAGTTTCCAGACTTCACACTTATATATTCTAAGGGGGTTTGAAAGGGATGTGTTTATGAAAGAAGATAAATTTATCTTATTTGTTGACTTTATAGTTTCAAATATGGAAGAAGAAAAGGAAATCCTAATCATCACAGGTAGACCATGTTCTAGCCGCCAAAAGGGTGATGATTGGTGTATAAAGAAAGGGGAATTGATAATAAGAGTGAATGATTAGGAAGTTACTATTAATATTTTAAGACCTATGTAATTCCATAAAGACTATAGTGGGGGCGGTGCTTTAAATGTGATTTCGATCGCTGGCATAGTGAGAGATCAATTATATGGTACATTAGAGTTTGACCCAATAAAGAAAACATTAATTGCTCGTGATGTAGATAAAAATAAAATTGAATTTTCTCAATTTATAGAAGCAACCCCTTGAGTCTTTAGGAAAGAATTGAGTGACTTGATAACTATACTATATTCAAACGTTTAATTTTAGAGGCACCTATTTTGGAGTTAAAAATGCACCTCAAGTAACTTAGGTATGCTTTCTTCAGAGAATCATTAACATTGCATATTATCATTTCATCTGATTGGATGAATTATAAAAGAAAAATTGATTAAGGTTTCGAGGGTGTGTAGATGAGGTTTTGGTGGGACCATATCAAATATTAAAAAAGGCATCCATTCCTTATTTATGTATAATATTCTATAGAAGATAATCATCAATAAAAAATTTATGTCCAGAGAAGATTAAACTGTCATGAAAAATTAGTAAACAAAGAAATACATAAGTGGTTAGATATTGAGGCCTACTTATCACATTTCAGATTGTGCTTAGGTGGGTTGTATTAGAAAAAAGTGGGATGATTATGATAGAAAATGATTAGGATAAGTTAATATATACTAGGAATGGCACTGGTTAGAGAATATATATGTAGAATATAGAAATTTTAAAAAAATAACAATGAATGAATATTTTTCCTTGCCTTTAATTGACTAAATCTTTGATAGGTTGGCATGACACCCTTATTTTTTCTTCTTATATGATTTAGGTTCACCATGCTTTTGTAGCACCAGAACATCTGGACAAAATCACACTTAAGAATACCTTTTGGGCTTTGCAATTCCCCTACTACCTTTTAAATATATATATGATGTCCAAACTCTTTTTGATCATATTGCAGGAGACATTGTGGTTTTTATGGATCAATTTTTTGTATTTAGGATCTCGCATGAGTCATTTCTTGAGCACTTAGCTTCAATGTTACAAAGATTCAAAGAGACTAACTTAGTACTAAATTATGAAATATATTAATTTATAGTTACATAACATATTATTCATGGACAAAAGATATCTAAGAAGGGGATGGAGATAGACATGATAAAATCTCAAATTTAAAAAAAAAAAATCTACGAGAACCCACTACTATTAAAAGGGTTAGGAACTTCATAAGACACATTTTTTAGACTGTCCTTAAGTATTTTTAAAATAAATAAGTTTTTATGTTATTTTTTTAGAAAATATTATGCTTTTTGAATTCAATCAGGAGTTCCTAGAAGCATTTGAACTTTTGAAATATAAACTAATCACTACACATGTAATTGTTGCACTTAATTAGAATCATTCTTCTGATCATATGTGTGATGCAAGTGATATTTCTATTGAAGCTATTTTAAGGAAAATGATAGGAAAATATTTTTAGATAATATACTATGCTAATAAAAAGTTAAAGGACGCCCGAATTAATTATTCCCTCACTAAAAAAAGAAATGCTAGATATAGTAAATACATTTGATAAGTTTAGATCTTATTTGATTAACACATAAGTCATTAAACAAACCATTTCATTATGAAATGTCTTGTTACTGAGCAGGATGTTAAATCATGACTCATTAGATGAATCTCTTTATTACAATAAATTTATAATAAATCCATGATTAGATGTGTAACAAATACAAAATGGCTAATCACTTAGCTAGAATAGATCAAGAAATTCTATACCTATTAAAAATAGTATAAAAACATTTTTCTCTAATGAGCAGTTATTTGCTCTAGTTAAGAATATTATTCCTTAGTTTGCTAACATAATGAATATCAGTCTGAGCAATATTTTATCTTTCAATATGTCATAAAACTAAAGAAAAAAAGTTATTTATGATGTCATTTTTTCGGACAAATCATATCTATTTATAAAGTATAAGAACAAAATTATTAGAAGAAGTGTATCTTAGACAGAGCAGAAACTATCATTAGGCAATGCCATGACTCAAGTATGATAGGTATTTTAAAAGTTTTAGAACTACATCAAAAATCTTATAATCATAATTACATTGGCCGACAATTTTTAAGGATATTAATCTATAATTTTTAAGGATTTTATTAATATGTTAAAAATTATGATAGATGTTACAACTTAAGGAATTTTTAGGAAGAAGAAAATGCCAATGATTTACATATTGGATGTTGAGATTTTTTATGTGTGGGGTTTAAATTTTTATTTCATCTTTTGAAAACTAATCTATTTTGATAGTAGAGGATTATGTATCAAAGTAGATTGATAGTGACACTTTGCTTAAGAGTAGTTGTCAAGCAGTTATTAGATTTTTAAAGAAAATATGTTTATAAGATTTGTAATGCTTAGGGTTAATCAATGATCTAGGAAGCCACTTTTATAATAAAAGATTTGAGTGGTCATTTACATTTAAATTCAAAATTGAACATATGATTGTTATTATATATGACTTGTACTTATGGCTAAGTTAAAAGTTTTAAAAAGAAGATATAAGGAATTTGATAAAAAAGTTTAACCTAAATGAGATGATTATGCTTTAAATTAGATGATTCATTCTGGTCTTATAGGGCTACTTTTAGAATGTCTCCTTCAAGGGTTATTTGGAAAACTTACTACTTACTGGTAGAAGTAGATAATGACTTATCAAACTATTAAGGAGTTGAATTATAATTTTAAACACTCAATAGAATAATGCTTACAATAGTTAAATGAGTTGGAAGAAGTAAGATTGCAAGACTCTAAAAATACAAAACTATATAAAAAGAAAACTAAAAGTAGCATGATCAAATGTTTGAATTGAGGTCTTAATATTTAGTTTTAGATTAAATTTATTTTCTAGAAAGTTAAAGTTCATGTGATGAAGATCATTTATTATGGTTAAAGTCTATATAGATGGAGTAATAGACATTGATAATAACAAAAAACCCATATTTGCAATGTAAATTAATAGGCTTAAGTCTTATTTAGGAGGGGATATTAAGCATTACAGAAAGGCTTTAAGGCTAGTTTATCCTTAATAAAATTTTATTTTATTAGGTTGTTGATACTAAACTAAGAACTTCATAGGAGACTATCTAAACTTTATCTCATTTTGTTATATTATTGTGTTAGTTGCTTATATTTTAATAAAAGAAAAAAAAAATGTGTATGTTTTGTTGTAGGCATGCAGTCTCACTTCACTGAAGGCCTGGAGCTACGATGCTAGTCATTTAAAGTAGAATCATTGGTTTTGTGGCATCGTAGCACCACTACATTTTTTAAATTTATAATATTATGCTAAGTACTTGTTATCACTTAATTATATGTTAGAATACCAAAAAGCTACGTGGGTAGTGCCATAGTGTTGATCAAGTTAGTCAAACTAGCAAAATCCAACCAAAAAGATGGGAATCTGAGGTTACATAAATTTCATTGATAGATATCTTATCATTTTGGTTAAAAAATAAAATATTATTTATTAAAAATAGATAGTAGTAATGACAATGTAAAGAGGTATTTTTCATATTTTGACCAGACTTAATGCTGCAGTGTTAGACCCTAGTGCTATAGCGTTACCTTGCCTTAGTTGTAGCTCAACATCACCACCGTTTAACATAAGAAAATTAATGCATTTAGCGATTATGCAAGAACATAATCATGAAATTTTTAATCCTAAATTTTCTTATAAATAGAGTTGAATGATTTTGATTTCACTTTCACCTTTCTTTAGCTTATATTCAGGTTCTTATGAGAAATGGTCAATGTAACTTTGCCAACTTTTTTCTCCTTTTATTTCTCCATTTAGTGATATAATTTAAGATTAGAGTTAGGAAGAAGCCTCAAACTCCATTGATTCTAAGAAATTTGTGAGTTTTGAAGTTAAGGGAAGATATATGGAACCCTTAGTCCATATAAAGATAAATCTTAAGAGGGGGTCTAGGAGTTTTGGGGTTGTA